TCATTTTCGGTAAAATAAAATCCGCCGAACACCTTTACCACACACTCGCTTCTGAACAGAACAAAATTTATGATTAATTAAAATTCAATCCCTTCTTTTTGCTGCTTTTTTTCCAAAGGATTATTGTCAATTGTTACGAAAGGTGAAACGATATCCACGTGAACTAGTGGTGGATCTGTGTACATGTCCAATATACAAAAGCGAGAATTCTCAGAATTCCCTGAGTGCTCAACACCACAAGGATGGAGCAATACCACAAAGGCAGACGAGAACATAGACAAGAGTCCAGATCAGAGTTGGAAAGCTGCGTTTCATTCATACATGTATAGTAGGGCTACTGATTCAGTTGTCTCAGGTTTCCCTTAGCCTTGCTATGTACATTAAGGTGGCCCCATACATGGCTAAAAAAACGTGATATTTTGGACTTGGAGCAAAATTCTGCACACTTTCGCGTGTTTCCATGATACGACAAGTTGCGCACGGTCTGTTCACAATCACTACAGTGCTGCCAAAAAATGACAGCGTGCAACAAAAAATCTTTCCTTGCAAGGGCATATTTTCGGCCATATCTCTTGAAGGGCTGGTCAGATCGAGACAAATTTGTCAGAGATTTTGCAGCTATGCATTCTCTTTGAACTGATGTAGCGTTCGACATAAATTTACAAATTCGATTTTTTAGGAAATCTTTGGGTGATATGCCTACCCATAAATTTCATATGGCATTCAATTGACCGTAACTTTGGTGTCTCTCAATGGATTTGAGTGACATTTTCACACACACTCCTGCCACTATCCTGGTCCTCTGGACATGATTTAAATGTTCTTGCGCCTCACTGGAATGGCTTTCCAGGCCGGAAAAACTCAAAATTCCGGCATAGTGCCACGGTGTGCGAGCCATCCAGGAGCCAAAAAAATGCATTTACAAATTTTTTTCACATTTTCTTGCCCATTCTGTCCCTGCGCGGGATCCAAACCTAAAAGAAGTCCAGAAGCAGCCATGGGTGATGGGATAGGGCCCTCAACGTGCCCCTGGAATTTGTCACAACGGCACGAGTGGGCGTTCTCTCACAGACTGCCACAGACCGAAGTAAATTTTTAATTTTTTTTTGTTTAGCACGTGCTACGAGGTCGTACCTTTGATACAACATCCAGTGCTGGGACCTCCACAGCAAGCCATTTCCACAGCGCTGCAAACCAAATCCAGGATACCCGCAAAATCGGCAAAGACTACCACTCACGTTCCACAACTGCCTAGTACTGAATCCTACCTGACTTCTTGACACGACTCAAACTTGCCAAAGTCACTAACTCAACGTCAACTACAATAATCAAGCCACATATCTGCAACGTAACGGGGGTGCTGGCAAAAGTCCTGCTGCATGGCGGCGGGCGAAGCCCCCCCCCCCCCCCGCTATGCAGCCCAATACATTGCTAAAAAACGTGATTTTTGGACTTGGAGCAAAATTCTGCACACTTTCGCGTTTCCATGATACGACAAGACGGTCTGCCCAGATTCAAATACAGTGCTGCCAAAAAATGACAGCGTGCAACAAAAAATCTTTCCTTGCAAGGGCACATTTTCGGCCATAACTCTTGAATGGCTGGTCAGATCGAGACAAGATTTTCAGAGATTTTGTAGCTATTCATCCAACAATGATCTAGCTGATTTTCTCTGTTCTCTTTTACAGTCTACTATAATTATGTATGTACATGCATTACGTTCTGGCATGCAATTATTTTGTACTACTTTGTGTCTGGCTGGTTTGACAAGTTCCTGTCATACAGCTATCACCAGACCAGCCCTGTGAGTGCAGCAGGGCATGCATGACTTTATGCTTTGGCACATACAACTGTATAGCCGGTGGTAACGCGGACGTGCAAACTTTACTTTACTTTACAGAGATCATACAATACTCTTAGGCTGCAATGCTGGTACATGTATGAATTGTACAAATTGCTAGCTGTACATGTACACATACAATGGAGACAAAATGCTGTGCAGCTGTAACTTCAGGTCTTGGCCACCATCACACAGCAGCATTTGGATGCATGCCAAATGCTGCTGTATGATAATCACCGACATGAAAGTTGAATTCACAGCCACACTGGCTTCCGCCTCCATTATGTCGTCACTGTTATTACTGTTCTATACATTAGTTCATAGAGCACTCTGAAGTCTGATTCAAGCGGCATCGACCAATCTGAATGTTTAGATAGTCCTTTACACAAGAGAGATAGATTGGAAGCTTTGTTACAACTCTGAGGTTCACGTAATACTACGATCAGCAGGCAGCTGATGGATCCAAAACAGGCAGCCAGAACATAAGGGGGAGCAAGGTGGGAAATTCCGAGCGGTATCATAATCCTATAAAACTGTTTCTGACCAGTCATAATGATCACAATGTACATGTACGTCGTCTACAACGTACGTGTGCATGGACGTTGGGTTTGACTGTTATCAATCTGCTTACTGGCATCATCCGGCACCACTGGTGTTGGTGTGGCCATAGCCTGTCCACAGTTCACCGTCATCACCAGCAGCAGCAGCAATGGAGCCAGATACAGTAGTAGGCATGCCATGATACTGCCTAGCTGTAGGCTGCGAATAGCTACACCTGATGATACCAGAGGTTAGTTCGCAGTATCACTAACAGACTACTGGGTCAGCTCTCTGACTCGAGAACACCTGATGATCAACTGGAGAGGAATTGGTTGAGAAACAAGAATTGTGGGCCAGTCAACGTTTTTAGCACCTATTCTAACTCACTGCCGTTCATGTACATTCAAACGTTAGACGGAGTACAGCTTGAATATGTACATTGCGGCCTTGGCGGCTCCAAATCCGTGCCTGGAACGGCGATCGCGAGTCACCTCACTCCCTAGTAGTGACAACCTGTCTGGTTCCACACATGACACTGACAGTTTGACACACAATAAACCAGTCCATGGCTGACAAAATAACTTTGTCCTACATCACGTATACTCACGCCTGTACACAGTTGAGCATGTCCGTGGTGTTTGCATGCTTGCAGTTGCTAGGTGATGTGTGCTACTCCAAGTACATCTACGAGTCTACAACATGTCCATGCTCATGTGGTTACTATAAATGTATTCAAGCTAGACCAGATGTAGCAACACCAATATTATTCCGTTCTGCCTACCAAGGATCGACACTGACCAACGCTGCTATCTGGTGTCACGTGGTGATTGTCGCACCACTGGAAACTGAGTGTCTCTGTACGTTTGCAGCCCTGATGATGTTTGCAGCCCTGGTGATGTTTGCAGCCCTGGTGATGTTTCCGGCCCTGGTGATGTTTGCAGCCCTGGTGATGTTTGGCACCCAGAACATTATACTAACCCTCTTGTGGTGCTCTTCGGACAGAATCTTCCTCAGCCTACTCCAGTTCACTGTTGAAGCGAGGATTCCCGGAAACATGGCGCATTTCCTGTTCTGTGCTTGAGTTTTTGTGATTTTACAGGTATTCATCCCAAGTGGTGATGGGTTTTCACCACAGTTCAACCGGCGGTCTCGAGGTCCCTTGCGTGAGGAACTCCCGCCATTTTCCTAATCAACATTCCAATTACCGCTATCTTCTGGAAGAACGCTCTCTCTCTACTCACTGTCAATCCCTTATTACACAGGATATCAGTGTGGACAGTGGCATATACCGTAAAACAGCATACATCTTACCACACTTCTTTCTTGCAATATGATGATTTCTTTTGACCTTTATGACAACCCCATTTCATTATTGCAATTTCAAATTTCATTATTGTTATTAACTTATTACTATTGCCAGGTCTCATTGTTGTAGCATCAATGTATGCATGCTCTTATACCATTAACTTTCCAACAAGTTTAAAAAAATGGAAACCGAGCACAGACGTGTGTATGTGTCTTTGCGTGTGTTTCGTGTTCGTGCACAAGGAAGCAAGATAGTGGGTGGGTGGCTATGACAGACAGATTATATTGAGTCACACTCTACTGTACTTTGGTCTTTGGTCTTATTATATCTATGATAGTATTGTGCGTCACAACAAGACATCTCGGATCTCATCTCGGATCTCAATGCAATACTCCTCTGTGCTTTTATAGTGCCACAAAATCAATGGAAAAAGAAATAAAATTGAAGATAGGCTGGGGTTTGAACCCACAACTTCATAGTCCACAGACAGCAAAATAATAGAAAAAAAGGTTATGAGTTGAAGATAGGCTGGGGTTTGAACCTACAACTTCATGGTCAGCAGACAGCATGCATAACCACGAGGCCAAACAGACATACGTAAATCGCGGGTTTTTGATAAAAATCGCTACTGGCGTCCTGGGCAAAGTCGAAACCATTGGAAAAGGCCGGAAACCTGGCCGAAATTCTAACTCCTTAACGGCTGGTCCAATTGTTCCGAAACCTTCACAGAAAAATTTGCCGTGTCCTAACAAGCCATTCCATGTACTTTGTTGTCCAAATTTCTCTTATCTTCATACTTTTTAGGACCCAAACCTGATTGTAAATCTTTTTGAAACAGACCGTACATGTATTGGTTACAGTGAAACCTGTCTAAGACGACCACTCAAGGGACCTTCAAATTCTGGTCTCTGTTACCAGGTGGGCTGCTTATCCAGGGTCATTAGACTGGAAATAGCAACCCTTGGTTCTGGCTAAAGTGGTCTTCTGGGGCAGGTGGTCGCCTTATCCGAGTGGTCGCCTTGACAGGTTTTACTGTACATGTACTTGACAATCAGTTCATGCGATAGCATTGCACGACACTGAAACTATTGTTAGTTGTAGAATGTCAGTACCGTCGGTCAGTGTCGTGCAATGTTATCGCATGAGCTGATTGTCAGGTAAATGGTGATGTTAGTGGACCTTATAGCATAATTTGTAGTTCCTTGGTCATTAAATTTCTGTAAAGCACCGCTGGATCTCCATCTGAGTCCACTGTGAATCTTACTGTGTAAACAGTTCTTCTGAAAACTGCAAATTTCATGAAAATTGGGACAAAGAAACGTAAAACAGCTGATGACGCCCGCATGGGTGCAAATTTGGAAGAGATCTACATGTATTTGAAGCGGGGCAGTGAAGGACTAAACACGTTTCTGCAGTGACTAAAGAACAATTGTATGATAGCCGAAATAGAAAGGCAGTGAGTTCATCGTATTCATTACGAAACACAGTATTTCATACTGGCAGCAGACATATACAATGTAGATGCATTTGAAACAGACTGCGGGTATTGTTGAGACGTAGACGACCATAGACATACAAGTACATGTACTCGTGCTGGTCGGTGTTGGTACGGGAAAGATAATAGAATGCACAGGAGAAGTTTTAGTAAAGATACAACTTGGCAAGGGGAGGCTGGTTAGAATGTATAGGATAGAGTGGGTGGATACAACAACAAAAATCGACGGGTTCGCGTACCGGGCAGGTCAAGAACAAGGAGTCGTACAACTCCCGGGTCAAGAACTACCTTTCGGCTTCCGTGGGACGCCACCACCCCATGATCATGCGTCAGATGCGCCTCCTAAACGGTGGGGATGGATAGATCAATGGATGCAAAGAATGTTCAAACGATTGGGTAAGCTGTAGAAGGAACAGGAAACAAGTTGAATGTTAAAAAGAAAAGAGACAAGAGCACTGTATACTGTACTAGTACAAGTAATAGACCTTTTTCTGTACTTGTGCGCTCATATCTGCCAGTAAAAGTGGCTTCTTCAGTACACTTAAAAAAAAGGTTGAGTGTTTTAACGCCGTGTTTCCAGCACCAGGGCGACTACCAAACACAGGTACAAACTTCTAGATTGATACAAAGATGGTAAAATGGAGAGATAAGATAGGGGTCAGGGGATGGGGATGCAAATACCTAGTTCTGTTGATTATTGCAAAGTTCCTCGATATGCAGAGTGGATGTGATGGTACCTGTACCAGGGTAGTAACCCAGGTGATACTGGGATGTACCGCATTGTGCCTCTATGTGTGTAGAGAAGTACAGTGGACCTGAAGTGTTGATATTACAAATACCACTCACAACACCAGCATGTGCCTGATAGTGGGCTGTTGAGCCAAAGCTTCCACTTCTGATCGGGGCTGGGTCTGAACAGTCTCTGCCGTTGATACGCACTGACACCTTCACACAATGCCAGTTATTGGTCGGATGATAAAATCCAATAGAGGTTGTGTACACCACTCTGATAACAGTGTCAGGTCTAGTCTTGTTGAACACGACTCCACTGAACGGGTTTCTAGCACTACTACCAGACGTCTCCATTGTAAATGTCTTCCAGGATACAATACCGCACTGAAAATGACATAGAAGTAGAAGTAGATTACAAACATGCACATGATATGAGCGTAATATGCCCAATTTGTGGCACGCGGTGGTGATTGTTAATTAGCCAGAACAATGTTGAGTAGCCATTTTCACTGCTGTCAAACCCAGGAATAGGGTTTACTGGGCCGTCGTGAGTTCCATTAGGGAACGGACACGATAATATACTCTTTTTGTTTACTTAAACTCCCGAATAGAGACGGAGGTGAGGTAGTGCTGGGAGACAGCTAAAACAATACTTCTGAAGCTATAAGCAGTTCTACCTAAGAGATCATCAATGGACCAGACTACCAATCTCTCCCAGCCTTAGCCCATCATGAAACTATTAAGCACAAGCCAGGCAGACTGTGTGTAGACAGTGGAGACGTCCAGTGGAACAGTTTACACAACAACTGCCAAACTGTCACAATCTTATTGTTATCTTCTTTGATATTGTCACATATAGGTACAGTTTGTTGACATCTTGCCACTGCCAGTTCGTTTCCTGTTGCTCGCTCTCATTGTTTCTGTTGTTGTGTTTCACTCTTTTATAACCTGATTCATGACATGTTTGGGTTGTCGTTCACTTGAACCAATCCTGGAACTAAGTTGGAACTACTACACGCAGCAGTAAAACCAACTAGACATTGTACAATTACAAATAAAGCTGTGGAAAAATTGTGGTTTTACCGAATATAGGCTTTCTTACGACTGTGAAAAAGACTCGCAAAGCAGCACCAAGGAGAGCCCTCGTTTCAACATTCACTTGCAAAGGGCATGGTCTGCACCAGTTGACTCGGGAAAACAGGGCATGCCTTCAAAATGAGCTTGGAAGAAAATGTTTATAAAAAAATCTTCCTGACATAATTGTACGTATCAACATAATTCGATCACCCGCCTGTACTAGTCAAGTCTACTCTGCATCTCATTTAAACCTGCTTCAAGCCTTCACCAGCCTTCGAACAAAGCTACCCCTCCTCAGTGCAGTCCAATTCAGGCTCTCCTTCTTGCACTTTCTTGACTCTAATCTCTCCCTCTCAGGCTAGTGAATCGATTAGACGCCGAGGCCTCTTTTTAAAAGTCATTTCAAGGAAAGCACTTGTTACTCTTAGTCGTATTGCTAGTATTCTATTACATTGCATAACAGAAATGCTTAACTAACCTTCTTTCTTTCCTCCTGCAGAGTAGCACTGATTGTTGAAAGCTGCTCAACAGAATGTTGCTTCATTGACTTGAAATGTTGCTGCGTCTGTTGGCAAATATTTGAAAAATTATCAGATTGACACAAAGCCCTTTTCTCCGGTGTATTTCAAATATTCTCATTCATTTTTAATACTGGCATGAAGTACAGACACCTAGATAAATATGTGCATGTTCCAGTCCGAGGATTTAAGTTGCATAATAGGCACTGTCATGTTGCAATGTGCGAAAGGCCAAAGATTATATGAAAAAAGTCGATGTTTGACGACTTGAGCCGGACTGTCATTTGGAACGTACATGACTGTATCTCTACATATCTCGACAAAACTACAGAATGTGTGCTCTGACTGATTTCATGTTTTTTTGGCGTTAGGTAAAAGCTTGTCCTGCCATCTGTGCAAGCAGTCGGGTAAGTTGTTGCCCATTCGACCACTTGGATTCTGCTTTTGTAAGGATTTTAGAAACTCTGTTGTGACTCACGGTTGATTATGATCTCTTGGCCTGGATGTATGGAACACACAGGGGTGCAGTGGTTTGGATTTCCATACTTTTAGCACAGTTCTAATCTACTGGAGTATCACCTGCTGCAAGGAGCTGTCGCATGTGCCAGTTGATCTGCTCTGAATAACTGAATCCCACGCAAGCCGTACGGCATGCACCTTGCATATGGAAACACTGCATTGCTTTCCTACCTTCTGTCCTTCCTCAGTCAAAGTGGCATTGATTGCAGCAAACTGTTGAGCAGAATGTAGCTGCATGTTCCTGAGGTGTTGCTTGGTCTGTGAGAATGAGTTCAAGTAAAATGAATTAGACTCGAATATACCAGGAATTTGCTTGCCCAGAGCTAGCTTGACTACATGTACACACTAACTCAGGTTGTCTGAGCATGCTAAAGTGTTCATTGCCTAGCTACCGATTTGGATCATTTCCATTAGCTGTAGCTCTGGAAGAAAAGTACTCTTTAACGTTATTTAATGCAGACACCGGATCCTGTGTCTGCTCTTCCAAGAGGTCACAAGTTACACTATTCTCAAAATTCTATTGTCTCACGGATGACGTAGGTGTGGGATCTTCCCAAAAACTCGACTGATATTTAATCAGGCTGAGTACTAAGAACTGATTCGACTTTCTACAGGAAAATTCACGTGAGTTCAATGGAGACTTGGTCATGACATCACGAGTTCTAATCCTTACTGGACATCCTACTGTTTACAGGACAACGACATCCTACTGCGCTGTACATGTATGCTCGCGTGTCACTCGTTCAGTAGCTGAGCCTACAATTAAATTTTCAGTTTGAGATATTTCAATCGGATAGGGCACATTCACATACACAGGCTTGGATGCCTTGTATTATGATACCAGTGAAATACTGCATTGGTATGCTTACCTTTCGCCCTTCTTCCTGCAGAGTGGCATTTATTGATTCAAACTGCTTAGCAGAATGTTGTTGGATGGTCCTGAAGTTTTGCTTGGTCTGTGGAAAGAAATGGATTGAAATCCGCAAAGAAACACACTTCCACCTTGGCTTGCATTTGTTGACCAAACGGATGCAGACACGACAGCGTGTTTTTTGAACATATATGGTGGAAATGAAACCAGTAAAAATATCCACCAGCTTAGTCACTACGTCTAAGACCATGATTGAGAAACGAGAGGTACCAGGTTCAAGTCTTGCTTGGAAGCGGAAGGATTTTTCCAACCGTGCTGCGACCCACAGTAACTGTTAATTGGGAACTCGTGACCTGGCATGAGTAAAACATGGATGCGGCAAATGGATTGAGGCCTTTGGCCTCTGGTTGGTGTGGATCTGATCTAGCCTCTCCCACGGTTTAGGAGCCGCATCTGACGCCTGATCACGGGATGGTGGCGCCACACGGAAGCAGAAAGGTGGTTCTTGACCAGGGAGTTGTACGACTCCTTGTTCTTGACCTGCCCGGCACGCGAACCCGTCGATTTTAATTTTTTTCAATTTTTAATCACTACGACAAGTCGAGGCATTTTTGTACTTTATAACTGCAATCATTCTGTATGATTGAGATATTTTCAATCGGATATGGTACATTCACACAGGCGTGGATACATGTTAATATCAGTGAAATACTGCATTGCTCTGCTTACCTTTCGCCCTTCTTCCTCCAGAGTGGCATTTATTGATTCAAACTGCTGAGCAGAATGTTGTTGGATGGTCCTGAAGTTTTGCTTGGTCTGTGGGAAAGAATTAAGTTTTAACCGCAGGGACACATGCCCATCGCTGGTAACCAAACAGATGCAGAAATTTAAGGTTTTGTGTGTGTATATTAATACTCCAAACGAAGCGAGTAAAATGATTCGGCCTCTGAGACACTTGCTGTAATTATTTGTACGTATATCTTCCACCATTCTGTGGTTGGTCTTAACTGATCACCTCCAGTCGTTGCTGGAAATATTATTTACAAAGATATCAGTACTGCATAATGTACATATGGGTTGGAATGCTTGGAGCAGATTGCCGAGTGTCTGCATTTTCTATCACACTTTACCTTCTTCTCCTGGGCTTGTTGGGATAAGTTCAATGACGTCATTTCCTCCTCAATCGCGAGCAGTTTTATCTTATTCTGCAATTATAGCGCAAACACAGTAATCCGTGTGAAAGACTGTAGATTTAATGCTGGTTAAACTCGGATACTGAGCCAGTCATAAATGTAAAAAAGAGAAGAAACACATGAGAACGAGTTATGCAGCAACTATCCACGACTGTAACAAGATGATAAACGGTCAGAAAGTGCACTAATATGGCACAAAACTGAGAGGCTACTGAGACATTCAGCGACCCGAGACCTAGCTCTAACACATCTCCAGGGCGCAAACCAACGCCTTCCAACTTGGAAGGCTCATGGTTACGTAGGACGAAGAGGGGAAGGTGAGCGGAGCGAAAATGTGCACAAGCTAAGTCCCGCGGCAAAAAAGAATGCCGACTGTTACAGGACGATGACGAGACCAGTTAATAACATGAAAATGCGGTCTGACTTGTAAATATAGAGATAACACTGTGGTAAATCGACTGCTTGTATTGTTACAATAGTTCTGACGATATTAGTTATTTGATTGTATTCTTACTTTGTAGCTGCGTCCAGGCTCGTTGGAATTCTCATCACGGACTCCATTCTAGTTTCGAAGAGATATAATTATATTCTTGTCCAATTGTTCTCAACAAATTCCTCGTCTTGTGTATTTGTTATCAAACAAATTCTTCGTAGTATTTGCAGTACGTAGTCTCGCGCTCTTTGATTTGTTTGACTCGCGCGTGACTTTCCTTTCTTTTCTTTTTGTCATGTATGACGTATCGGTATGACGTGAGTGTGTACGCACTCTGTTTATGACCACGTGACTGCATGCTCACGTGGAACTACAGTCAGTAGGCTAGTGCATTTTAGCGACTGCAGCGATCCGATCTTCTTGCTGCAGCGCTGTTTCTTCTTCTTCACTTGTGTCTTTTCTTTGGTCGCTGCACTAGTTTGTGATTACCATGATTACGCGTCAATGGACGACATGGTCGCCATTTTGTGCATGTCCTTTTTCCTGATGGATCTTGGATCTCGTGGAAAAAGAAGGGTTTTCTTTTCTCCCAACTTTACCACTATTTCAATATTTCAACTCTCTTGATTCCTTGTTAATAGTTGTGGCTCAGTGCATGTGCGAGTGTGCTGGAGTGCTAGCTGGAAGAGATAGAGAGCATAGTGGTGGAGTAACAGACTACAATTCGAAGCAGCAAAGCAACACACCACCCAACTTGGGTGGGCCAGCAATATCAGAGATAAAGGAAGGGGGAAGCTTCGCGAAGACGAATTGTACAAAACTGGACGCCAATATCTAACGGTACGCCTCATGCATGACACTATTGTGGACGAGTTGACTACGTAACCATGAACCTTCCGAGTTGGAAGGCTGTTGGTTTGCGCACTGGAGATATGTTAGAGCTAGGTCTCGGGTCGCAGAATGTCTCAGTAGCCTGTGAGTTTTGTGCCATATTATCGCACTTTCTGACCGTTTATCATCTTGTTACAGTCGTGGATAGTTGCTGCATAACTCATTCTGATGTGTTTCTTCTCTTTTTACATTAAATGCCTCAATGCTGTGTCATACTTTTAGGCTTGGAAACAGGGAGGAATACGATGCACGTGCAAGGAGTGGATGGAACAATTTCCAGGCTCACAGATATTGGTGAGGCATAACAGGAAAGTTGAAGCAGTGATTTTGATGATGGGCACTGATTGCTGACCAAAGTTGTCACCAATGGGTTCGCTCAGAAACACGTTGAACATTTTGAAAACATCCTAAATAACAATATCTACGTTGGGTTGTAGTGTGTCACTACAAGATTGATTTGGTGACTGTAATCAGAAGTTAAAACAAAACAGGGAGGCCACAAGCGTTTGTGTGTGTACCCTTTCCCGTCGCTGGTAACCAAACAGATGCAGAAATTTAAAGTTTTGTTTGTGTACACTAACACTCCAAACGAAGCCAGTAAAATTATTCGGCCTCTGAGACACTTGATGTAATTTGTACGTATATCTTCCACCATTCTGTGGTTGGTCTTAACTGATCACCTCCAGTCGTTGCTGGAAATATATTTACAAAGATATCAGTACTGCATATGTACATCTGGGTTGGAATGCTTGGAGCAGATTGCCGAGTGTCTGCATTTTCTATCACACTTTACCTTCTTCTCCTGGGCTTGTTGGGATAAATTCAATGACGTCATCTCCTCCTCAATTGCGAGCAGTTTCACAAGTTTTATATTACTCTGCAATTATAGCGCAAAAAAACAGTAACTCTTTGTGTGACATACTGTTCATGAATTTCTGTGTCCTACTTTTGTCTTGGAAACAGGAAGGAATGAGATGCAAATGGAAGGAGTGGATGGAACAATTTCCAGGCTCACAGATATTGGTGATGTATACTAGTAACAGGGAAGTTGTAGCAGTGATTATGATGATGTGCACTGATTGCTGACCAAAGTTGTCACCGATGGGTTTGCTCAGAAACAAGTTGAACATTTTGAAAACGTCCTAAAATAAGAATCTCTACGTTCGATTGTAGAGTGTCACCAACAGAATGATTTGGTGACTGTAATCAGAAGTTAAAACGAAACAGGGAGGCCACAAGCGATTGTGGGTGTACCTGAATCTCCATTTCATCCACTTTTGTCTTCTGTTGGACAAATATGGTAGTCAGTACTTTCATGTCGGAGAGTAGCTTATGGATTTGAAGATCCCTTGCTTCCAGTTTCTCTTCCAGCTGCTTGTTGTATGTTTTAACCTCTTCAATTTGGTAGCAAAGCTCGCTGTTTGCAGATGATCCGCACAGATCGACTAACACAGGTAAAATCAGAGCAAAGTTGCAGAACAAAATTTTTTTTCACGATAATCATTGTTTTTCTAACAGGCGGCGAGGTGACAACAATTTTAAGATGGCAATAAACAGAATCAGCTGAAGCGACATGTTACGATGGTTTAATTGAGATGTAAAGTGGTGATGGTCTTTGTCCATTACCACTTTACATCTCAATAAAACCTTCGTAACATGTCGCTTCACCTGATTCTGTTTTTGCCATCTTAAGATCATATTAATTTTTTCTTTTTCTTATATTCAATGTTGTGCATTCAAACCCAGTCAGTCCTAGCCGTTGAAAATTCTTAATGAATTGCCTCACAGAGTTTTTCTCTGCGGCTGACCACACGCACTTCCCAAATAAGCAACAGGTTTCTTCTGACCACCTAGTTCATTCACTGGCTGTTTTCTGTCATTGACACCTGATCAGAAATTTGGTGGAAAAATATGCACAAAGCTGCAGCCTCTTTCTGTGGTTGGAAGTGTAGGTGGTTGGTCACAGATCGCGATGGATCCGTACTCGGAGATTAAATTTCCGGACTTCTGCCCTTCCAAAATTTGGAATATTTATCATGCAAGTCTGTGTAGTCTTTCCAAGCGTATTGTGTTTCTTTGTGTGTCTCGTCCTGGGTTTGTCCATATCTAGTGATATATTCAACACCATTAACAATGTGACACTTACCTTGGCAGTTAGTACCATCTCCCTTGTACCCAGATTGACAGTGACAAGAGTATGATCCAACAGTGTTATTACACATTGCATGTTCATTACACTCATGTACACCAGCTGCACATTCATCTAGGTCTGGACAGAGAGCGCAGTGGAATACATAGCAGATAGATACTGATACATCGAGACTTGCAGTAAGATACGTGTTTCTCTAGTATAGAACAGAATCCGTAAATGCTTTCTTGGCATTAGATCATGCATGCGGTCCGTTCAGTTTTCAAACTAACATCGAGGTAAAAAAGTCATGCCAAAAGGCACATACAGGTTCATTAAGTGTTTATGATTAAAATAGACTGCACAAAATGCTATCTTTAAGAGAATTTCTAGGAAAACTCTTTAGAGGTTTGTTCGTGTTATTATTGGTTGGCTGATTTGGCTGAGATTGGCCTGACTACATCCAAGACAAAACTCAGCATGCGGAAAATCCCCTGTGGACTGTAAATAATGACCTACTGTATTTTCTCTAATAATCGCGCGGGGTTCCTATTTTTTCAGTGACAGCCCTACCCGCGCTAATAATTATTAGAGACTGGGCTAATATTGGAGACTGGGCTCATTTTTTTTCAATTGTCAACTATCAAGCCAACTTCAGTGTATACAGGCATAAACTGACCATATCAAGACTGATTTTTCAGCCCTAAACTCAGGAATATTGTCAAAACTGATGTTTCACAATAGCATTGGCGCAAGGAAGGAAGCAGTAGACCGAAAACCTCCTTACAAATATACGTCAATTCCACCACCAGAGATTCGAATTCAAACACCTCTAGTATGAGGTCTATGTTCCTCGAGTTTGTGGCTTTTCGTAAACAAAATATCTCGCACACAATCCCAAATCCAAGTGGGAAATGTATCGGAGCACTTACCCTCACACATTCGTCCATTTCCATCGTATCCTGCGTTGCAGTCGCAGGTGAAGGATCCATAAATGTTATAGCATGTTGCCACGGCTGGTTGATCACAGTTGTTTATATCTGGCCGACTGCATTCATCAATATCTGAAGTGGAGCAATTGCAAGAAATGGTTACCCGGATTAAAACATAAAGTCAGGATCATAATTATCATTATTGGATGAAGGCAAATATTCTTGAATGATACACAGTGTGTGCCTTCGTGTGTGGATATGAGGACGTATTCTGAGCTTCACTGAGAGATTACCCGTACGGGACTTACTGCAGACTAATATTACGAAAGCAATGTATCATCATTCTTCATTTACCTGCGTTTTTTCCAATCTCCTTATGTTTTCTGATGATTGGTTTTTGCCTTGAGGTACAAGAAAAAACAGCCCTATTTACTTCCTTTTGTGTACCTCATGCGTACTACGCTCTGCCCATTCCAGGCATTTGAGCACTATAGGGCTTGAAAGTGCTACGTCGCAGCATAGCAACAATTTCAAAAATTCAAAAACTGATCCATTTGGATCCAATTTTTGTATGGATCCAAGCACATTTCAAGCCGTCTTACTCACAGCAAGGTGATGAAGCCAGTGAAACTGACTGATTTGGCTACTGGAGGCGGGGATACAACTGGTGGCGAAGTAAAAGTCACCCCTGCATACGATATGAGTGGGTTGCTATGCACCCACATACTGAGGCAATAGCAAAGTCACACCTTAGTGGATCCAAAATAGAAATCTGATGTGAACTTACTACTCCCTGGCCGTTTTTGACGTCATCACTTTCAAGCCCTATTGCAGGTTAAGGTGGCAGACTACCCAAACATTCGCTGAAAATCGAATTTGCAAATTCGTATCGAGTGCTACGTCAGTTGAAAGAGCATGAATAGCTGCAAAATCTCTGATAATGTTGTCTCGATCTGACCAGCCGTTCAAGAGCTATGGCCGAAAATGTGCCCTTGCGAGGAAAGATTTTTTTTGTTGCACGCTGTCATTTGTTGGCAGCACTGTATTTGAATGTGAGCAGACCGTGCGCAACTTGTCGTATCATAGAAACATGCGAAAGTGTGCAGAATTTTGCTCCAAGTCCAAAAAAGTCCAAAAAATCACATTAAAAAACCACGTATTGGGCTGCACGGCGGCGGGCGAAGGCGGGCGAAGCCCGCCGCCGCCGTGCAGCAGGACTTTTGCCAGCACCCTCGTGACGTTGCAGATATGTGGCTTGGTTATTGTAGTTGACGTTGATTTAGCCACGTTGAGGGGCCCTACCCCACCACCCATGGCTGCTTCTGGACTTGTTTTAGGTTTGGGTCCCGCGCACGGACAGAATGGGCACGAAAATGTGAAAAAATTGTAAATGCATTTGTTTGGCTCCTGGGTGGCTCGCACACCGTGGCACTATGCCGGAAATTTGAGTTTTTCCGGCCTGGAAAGCCTGTCAGTGAGGCTCAAGAACTTGCAAGTCATGTCCTGAGGGCCAGCATAGTGGCAGGAGTGTGTGGTCAAACTTTCACTCAAATCCATTGAGAAACACCAAAGTTACGGTCAATTGAATGCCATACGAAATTTATGGGTAGGCTGCCCCCCCTAAGGCACAGCCTGTATGTATCATTACACTTACCTATATCACACTTCCTTCCAGTCATTCCTGCCTGACAAACACAAACCGTCGATTGTTGTGTTGTTTTGAACACACATTCTCCAGAGACTGAGCAAGGTAGACGCCTTGTTAAGTCAGCTGTGGGGCACTCTGGCGTTCGATCTGTAATGGGATTCGAGTAGGGGAAGACCAAATGTTAGAAAGGAAACTTTGACAAACAGCGAGTCCATATAGATTTGCCCGTCACAAAAGATTGACGAAACTAAAGCATTTCGGTGTCTCTCCTATGTCCTGGCTTGCTGTGTTTGCGTTTGCCCTGACGTCTTCTGTAGAAAACGTCTCCAGTGATTATAATGTATTTGTACCCTTGTGCTACTTCACTCGTGAAGTTGAAAATGTGTGATAATCAGAAAAATTCTCACATCAAGCGCTTGCATTGCCACCCCTATCATTAGTTTGCTCGTTTACCCATCATCGATGCATGGTTGGTGACATATTTGGCATAGCATGCTGGTATGTGCCCCGCAATTTGTATGGTGTGACAAACCTAACGTAAGAGAAACCTGCTTGTTGTGCCGGACTCTATCCACTCAAAGCTACAGCACATCCTTGTTTTTTTTGTTTTTCTCTACAAAATCCATTCATCTCCGGACACTGAGGTGAATGTGTTGCATGACCTATAGACAGGACTCCAGGTTACATCCAAACTACGAACACGAAAGGTACCTATGCCAGAAATTTCGGCAACCATGCATGGCTGTGCTTCTCAGTTCTGGCAAGGAAGGCAAAATATGGCACTTTGGCACGCCAGCATTGACAGTGCGTGGGGCCGCTTTCTGCAGGTCAGGTATGGAGCTTGATATGCTAAAAGTGGTGCGACACAGGTGGTTGCTGTTTCTGGTGCAGTTTCCATTCAGGAATACCAGAAATGGAAAACCGCAATCACAATTGGCGGTCACTGATTCAAAAGATAAATTATACCCGGTTTAGTGTTACACTACTGGCAGATATACCAGGGTTTACTTACGAACGCAGTGTTTAAGGTCTGCTGCAAGCTGTGGTGCGTAACCCAAGATGAGACTTAAGAAGAATTGCTCTTGGTGCTTGACAACCTTCTCATCTAACATTGTTTGAATGGCAGCTGGTGTGTTGAGAATGGCGACGGCTCTTGCACGACTAGAGTTGGCAATCAGTAGCCATTCCGTCATGCAATTGAAATCTGCAGTAACCATCGCAGCTGGTGTATCTATTGACAAAGCGACAACATATTTGATATTAGTGCAATTAAGAGTATAATAGATGCAGACATGGCCAGACAACAACGAGTTCATGGAAATTTTTAAGGATTTTTATGTTATTCAAAATCGATTTTCGTGTTCCGCTCATCAGTGAATAGTATCGGAACTGAGGGTACTGTGTACAAAAATAGAACATTTTATAACAGCATAATTGAAAGTGTGAACAAAAAAAGGAAGTGCTACAGCATTCTATATTTGATATTGAAATTCTACGATCAGAAATTTTGAAAATAGGTAGCCACAGCCCCACTTAATGATCAGTGCATTATGACGTCACGGCTGTGTCTGCACACTCTAAAGCTAAGCGTGGAGCTATCTCTCAACAATATTAGAGTTTGAGTGAAATCCTCTCTCATCCTTCTACGGGACTATGGGAGACTGGGAGTGTATTTATTATAAGTATCTCCTCGGTGAAATGTAATATCGGTATGACACGTCCACAGCTTTGGTTTTGCCGAATGGCTTCAATCATTGGAGACAAGTAAAGAATTTACAAAAGTTTTGTTTGCTAAGTATTAGAAGCCATGCATTGCGAGGATTTTACCAAGATTGAACAACCTAAGACAGGAGCGTCCGTTCCAAATCGGACTTTAATTGGGAGCTATCATCAAGATTCAGGGAACAAACACATTATAACCATGTCCAAGTAATGGTACGAAATACCTGATCAGATTTTCAACTTCGTCTCTTCGTGCGCTAATAATATTCCCTCGTGTTGCGTGGTGATGTCTTCGGCATTTATACTGTTCTTAGCTCTTATAAAACCTACACATATGGCTGACTGATTTTCAGGCCTGCCTGCGAATCATGAAGTCCCGAGTTCGAGACTAGCGCTGGTAGCAGGGAGCGGGTAAAAAGAATTTTTTGCGTGTGGTGAACTGCGCCGACGGCCACGGTCAACTGGGTACTCACAACTCGGAGTGAGGGTAACTTGGATGCAGTTTGAAGGGTTACGGGCCGTTACACGCCCGAATGGTTAAGAGACTCACCACCTCTCCCCTGACTCACTTGTCAGGGTTTCATTCGTCACTAAGGTGAAAAGGCATAGTGGTTGGCCTGCGGAAGCGAAGGCTATAGGTTGTGTGTTTCTGAACATTCAAGTCATGCTAACGCGGATCCCGCGAATATTATTATTATTTATAAAACAACGTGGTGAATGGCCGACAGTCCTCAGCGCTTCTTCAACACCTCCATGAGCGACACTGACTCCCGTTGCTATCTGGTGTTCACGAGGTGTTTGTTGGGCTGGAAACGGAGCGTCTCTGTAAGTTTGTATCCCTGGTGATGTTTGTGCCCGTAGTGCACTATATAAGTAGAGCTCTTCAGACACAATCTTCCTCAGCCTACTCAAGCTCAACACGAATTCCCCGAACAACTGTGTATTGAGCAGGGAGTGGTGCTTTTTTGAAGGTTTGCCACGTGGACGGTTCGATGGACTTCTTGTGTTCTCTGGATAGCAGTCGTGAGTCAGTCAAGTGAGAATTCCAGTCGGCAGGAAAACCGCGAGATCCCATGTAGGGAGCAACACACTCTTCCCCTACTATCGCCGAAATCGCACTAACCTCTTCAGTATAAAACCATTGTCTCCATATATATGCGCATTATATTGAGTGAGCTATCGTCAATATAAAAGTTGTGCCAGTGCCTGTGAGACGTATCCTCTCACCTCTATGGTCAGGTGCTGCATCTGCCGCTGGGTTTACTGGGTGTTATTGACCTTCGTCAATTCCATTCCGGACTGGAACTAAAAAAATTACTTTTACTTAATTTTTTATCATCAAGATGGTGTTCTGCCCTCGTGGAACCCATAGTTGTATCCGACTATGCTAACTACTGCGTTAAGGCACTTCAGCCTGGACAGTGAGAACGATTTTTGAAAATTCAGGTTCACAACTGTGCATCCTTCAGTGTTTTGTATTATTACCATGTTAACAATCCTACGTGAGAAATATCTTTTTCCCCTTTGGCTTCGCAAATTCATAATGTCACTGATCAGGTTGGTAGAATTTCAAATTAATTATAAATGTTTGGATCAATACTAATGCACTTTAGAAAGATGTTGGCACAAAGTATGCCATCGAGTTCACCAACTAAAACAAATTTTGAACAAGCAGATGTCACAATCTAGCACAAAAGCACGTCGGACTGTTCAAAATCTGGTTTAGTTGGTGGACTCGATCGCACAACTTGTGCCCACACATTTGCATGATATAATAATTCCTTGGCTCACCAGCTAAGTTAAAAGAAATAAAAAATAATGTACTTTGGATGATAAATGGAGAAATGTTCACGAAGATTACACCTGTTGTCTGACTACATCTTTCATTCTCGGGAAAATACAATCCGACAAGCACCTTTACCACACACTCGGTTCTGAACAGAGCAAAAATAATGATGACTTTCAATTCAAGCACTTCTTTTTGCTGTGTTTTTTTCCAAAGGCTTATTGTCAATTTTTACGAAAGGTGAAGCGATATGCACTTGGTGGATCTGTATACATGTACAATATACAAAAGCGAGTATTCCCAGATTTCCTAGAGAGCTCAACGCCACAAGGATGGAGCAATACCACAAAGAAAAGACAGAAGAGAACAGAGGCAACAGTCCAGATCAGTGTTGTAAATCTGCGTTTCATTCATACATGTACATAGCAAGGCCATGGTAAACCTGAGACAACTGACTCAGTTGTCTCAGGTTTACCATGGCCTTGCTATGTACATGAAACGCAGCGTTTCAACAATGATCTGGTTTTCTCTATTCACGTATTCAATCTACAATGTACACACCGTACATGTATGTCATGCATTACTTTCTAGCATGCACTTAGTGGCTGGCTGCTTTGACAAGTTCCTGTCATACAGCTGTCACCAGACCAGCCCTGTGAGTACAGCAGGGCATTAATATTCGCGGGATCCGCGTCGGCATCGCTTGAATGTTCAGAAACACACAAACTAGCCTTCGCATCCGCAGGCCACCACTATGCCTGTTAACCTTAGTGGCGAATGCAGACCTCACAAGTGAGTCAGGGGAGAGGAGGTTAGTCTCTCAACCAACCGGGCGTGTAACGGCCCATAACCCTGTAAACTGCATCCTTGTTATTCTCACTCCGAGCTGTGAGTACCCAGTTGACCGTGGGTGTCGGCGCAGTTCAGCACGCGTAAAAAGTCTTTTACACGCTCCCTGCTACCAGCGCGGGTCTTGAACTCGGGACCTCATGATTCGCAGGCAGGCCTGCAAACCAATCGGCCATATGCGTTGGGGTCATGCATGACTTTATTCTTTGGCACAGAGATCATACAATACTCTTAGGCTACAGTGCTGGTACATGTATGAATTGTAACTATTGTTAGATGTACATGTACACATGCAATGGAGACTAAATGCTGTGTAACTGTAACTTCAAGTCTTGGCCGCAATCACACAGCCGCACTTGGATGCATGCCAAGTGCTGCTGTATGATAATCACCGAAATAACAGTTGAATTTACAGCCACACTGGCGTCCGCATCCATTATGTCATCACTGTTCAATACATTAGTTCATAGAGCACTCTGATTCAAGCGGCCTCGACCAATCTGAATGTTTAGATAGTCCTTTTAAGGAAACTGTTTCTGGCCAGTCATAATAATATATTATTGAATTGAGTTTCATGCACATCACACCGCTGATTGCCATAAACGTCAACACACACAAGAAAACAATGTACATGTACGTCGTCTACAACGTACGTGGTGTTGGACTGTTATCAAACTTCTTACCGGCATCATCCGACACCACTGGTGTTGGTGTGGCCATAGCCTGTCCACAGTTCACCGTCATCACCAGCAGCAGCAGCAATGGAGCCAGATACAGTAGTAGGAATGTCATGATACTGCCTAGCTGTAGGCTGCGCATAGCTACACCTGACACCAGAGGTTAGTTCGCAGTATCACTATCAGACAACTGGTTTAGCTATCGGACCCGAGAACACCTGATGATCAACTGGAGAGGAATTGGTTGAGAAACAAGAATTGTGGGCCAGTCAACGTAGCACCTAATATTCTAACTCACTGTCGCTCATGTACATACGTTGAGCGGAGTACAGCTTGAATATGTACATTGCGGCCTTGGCGGCTCCAAATCCGTGCCTGGCACGGCGATCGCGAGTCACCTCACGCCTTAGTAGTAGTGACAACCTGTCTGGTTCCAGAACATGACACTGACAGTTTTGCACACAATAAACCAGTCCATGGCTGACAAAATAACTTTGTCCTACATCACGTATACTCACGCCTGGACACAGTTGAGCATGACCGTGGTGTTTGCACTCTTGCAGTTGCTAAGTGATGTGTTCTACTCCAAGTACATCTACGAGTCTACAACATGTACATGTTCATGTGGTTACTACTACAGTAGAAATGTATTCAAGCTCGACCAGATATAGCAACACCAATATTATACCGTTCTACCTACCAATTATCGACGCTGACCCACGCTGCTTTCTGGTGTCACGTGGTGATTGTGGCACTGGAAACTGAGTGTCTCTGTACGTTTCCAGCCCTGATGATGTTTCCAGCCCTGGTGATGTTTGGCACCCAGAACATTATACTAGCCTTGTGGTGGTGCTCTTCCGACAGAATCTTCCTCAGCCTACTCAAGCTCTACTGTTGAAGCGAGGTAACCCGGAAACATGGCGCATTGACCAGGGAGTGATGCTTTCCTGGTGAAGTCAAGTCAGCGGGAAAGCACCAGCTCATGTGTACGGAGCAACACACGTTGATATGACTGAAAAAAAAACTTTCGCATGAAAATGATGAATGGAAAATGGATGAAGAATGAAATATTTTGAAGTTTAAATCGGATACTGGGACATTACTAGATGTGCTTCTGAAGTATGATAGACGAAAATACACGAGAAATAGTTATATTATTATTATTATACGCATTCCCGCGTTGAAGTGTAGCAGCAGTATGCTGCGTCCACAGCTTCGCTTATGCAGAATGGCTTGGGTGAGAGGAGAGGGGAGAGAAAGCAACAAGGCAACCAACATCTATGAAATTGGTCACAATAACACGAAGAGAACCAACCTACATATGCATGATTGCACAAGAATGGAGACGACCAAATATAATGGCTATAATCATTGTGCCACAAAACCTGTACACAGGAGATCTGACGACAATGTAACGAAACATAAAACTCAGTTACTCAAAACAGGTTCCACTAAATTGGAAGAGAACAACGCTACAACGTTAGAATTGCCGCTAAATTATCGCAAGTGTAGAGAACGAGTCCAATACAAATGAAAACCATGCACAAACTGTCCCGAAGTTTTTTTGGGAACAAATAATTGTACTACATGACTGTACTTGCTGATACTGACGCTGACGGAACACGAATAGTTATATAGCAACCAAATATCCAAGACTGCAACAAGATAACAAGCAGTCAGAAGGGGCAGATCGTTGAAGGTCTCAGTTGCCTGTCAGTTTTGTGCCCTTTCATTGTACTTTCTGACTGCTTATTATCTTGTTACAACCCTCGATAGTTGGTTTCACAACTAGTTCCCATTTGTTTCCTTCTCTTTTAGATGAATGCTGAATGAATGCTTTCACATGAAAATGATGAATGATGCTTCCAGTTGGGGACACAACTCAAAAGAAGATGACCCTCGTGTTACATGTCCTCCTTCTCCTCAGCGCTGAAGGATGCGATCATCCATAGCAAATACCTGTTGTCTGTTACTGCTGTGCCACTATTACCAGTTCTAGCACTGTGCGTGTACTTCAAGTACATGTACTTCATTCTTGAATGTAAGTAGCACTAATTTATAGAAGAAGAAAAAGAACCAAGGAAGTACAAGTTACGCTATAATGTCCACCAGTTACTAAGCAATCAGCAAATGCGATAACATTGCACGACACTGACAGACGGTACTGACGTTCTATAACTAACAGGCTAACAACTCTAGCACATCTTGGATGCGCACTCCAACAGCCTTCCAACTTGGAAGGCTCTAAGTTAGAGAAATAACACATAAGGAGGTGGTGTTAGTGGACATTATAGTGTAACTTGTAGTTCCTTGGTCCTTTCTTTCTTCTATAAATCAATCCTTGGTTCTCCGTCCGAGTCCATTCCTGTAAGTAACGTTAGTACTGTCCAGATTTTGCCGTGGTGATCTAAACTCATTTTGTTATTTTAGAACGTGGATTTGAATGTTGTCGAACACTTTTGTTTATTTTGTAAGTAAAATATGTTACACGTGCATGGGCATGTGCATGCAAACGTACGTCGTTAAAGGCCGGAGGCCTGACACTTGGATCCACTGTAACTTGAATCCAGTGCTGCATTGTAAGTCTCAGCATTGCAACACATGCTACATGCTATGTATTGTAAGTCTCAGCATTGCAACACATGCTACATGCTATGTATTGTAGTTTGACGTACATGTTCTGGTGAAACTCCACCACACCTAACACGTGACCTTTCAAAACTGTCACTATTATGCTTCGGTAGTGCTGGTGCAACTTAAAAAAAGGCTCAACTCTCTGCGTTACAATCGTCTTAGTTAGCTAGGGAGCAAATGTATTGGTTTGAACCTACGTGCTCGTCTCAATTTGTTGTCGCATACAATTCTAACAACCACCTGGCAATTGTCCTTGGCATGCTCATACATGTATCGCTGCCAGACCAGGAAAATGTGGATACATAATGTTGTATTTCAAGTAGTTACTGAATCTGCGGACAGAACTGTTTCGTCCTTTGTGGAATCAACGGCGCAGAACAGAGAAAATTAGGCAGAACCAGATACCGGTAATAAAGTAAAAAAAATCAAGTAAATTATCGCATCCGTTCCCGAAGCGAACTCACGACGGCCGCTAACACCCGATAAACCCTAGCGGCAGATGCAGCGCCTAACGGCGAGGGTGAGTGGGTAAGTCTCACAACCACTGGCACAAGTGCCGAAAACGACCCCATTAGCTGCATCCATGTACCACTTGTGCCTGGCCACAAGTTCCAAGTTGACTGTGGGTAGCAGCACGGCTGGAAAAACCGCTCCCAGGCAGGACTTGAGCCAGGTACCTCTCGTATCTCAATCATGGTCTTTGACCAACCCACTATGCCTGCCTGGTTGTAATGAAATGCAAATTTCCAAAAGCCAGATTTCAACCAGGCCCGAACGTACCTTGCCGAAGTGCTCAAACTGACAAGGCAGTGAGCTCTGCATAGCGCAAACAACAAAGTTACTACCCCACACGAGAGTGGTCAACTGCTACAACGTCAAGAGTAGGAGCGAAATACTTTTAAATTCTACGGACAGAACTGTTTCGTCCTTTGCAGACTCATCAGAGCAGCACAGAGAAAATGAGGCGGAACCTGATAGCAATGAAAAATTGAATTTCCAAAGCCAGATTTAAAACAGGCCCGAACGTACCTTGCCGGAATGCTCAAACTGACAAGTCAATGAGCTCTGCATAATGCAAACAGCAAAGTCACTACCTCAAACAAGAGTACTCAACTGCTACAAGAGCAAGACTACAGTGTACATGTATTGTATTAACTGGCTCAATATTCGAATTATGTCTCGTTATGAACTTTAACTCCAAATCTCCCCCTCACACAATGTATAACGCTTCACTTTTCCAAATCCAACAACGTCTTGGCGCGGAAATTCACCGTGTGGTACGTAGGCGAGAATAGAGCACTGATTGTCTGCAGATCAGAACTCACCATACCCCACAGGGTGACAGCAAATTGAATATTTGGTTACTTACTTTGACCCTGAATGCCAAGTGCAATAACAGTACAAATACTCTCATGACCAGAATCCATTTCCTTTGATTTCGGGCTGAAACGTTTCACACAATGTAAATGTTACTTTGTAAACAGCAAATTACATGAAGAATAGGACAAAGAGATGCCGAACAGCTGATGATGACGTCATGAGCACAAAATGGAAGACGTTTTTAAAATTGAAGTGGGGTAGTGAAGCATTGAAAACGTTTCTGCATTGACTACAGAGCAAGTGTATTCTAACCGAAATAGAAAGGAGCAGATGAAAAATGTGGTACATTGCGAGTCCCTTACTAAGGACGCTGTTGTAACAACCGCGTGTCCCACAAAAGTAGAGTCAATCATGTGCATTACAAGGAAAGCATTGCACCCTGGCAACAGAAGTGCAGTTAAAAACGAATTGTGGTAGTTTTGAGATGTAGAACAACATTCATACATACAATGTAGGTACGTCATACGTACATACATAGGTACGACATACACACATACGTAGGTACATGCAGATAGAAAGAATGGATAGATATTAGGGATAGATTGAGTGATTAGATAAAATGGATATTCCAAAGTAGATAGAGTGGACAGATAGAAAGATCAATAGACAGAATACAATGTAGAAAAACGGGGAACAACTTGTATATTCTAACGCCGTGTTGCCTGCCTCAGGAAGACTACCAGACAACAGTAAACACTACTAGATTGTTACACAGATGGAAAGGGGGAGAGAGAGAGTAGAGGGGGGGGGGGGGAGAGGGGGGGGCAGACGGATTGGGAGGCAAACGTCTAGTCCTGTTGATTATTGCAAAGTTCTTCGATATGCAGAGTGGATGTGATGGTGCCTCCACCATTGTAGTAACCCAGGTAATAGCTGGATGTATAGCGTTGTGCCGGTATGTGTGTAGAGAAGTACAGTGGACCTGAAGTGTTGATATCGCAAATACCACTCACAACACCAGCATGAATTTGATAGTGGTCTGAAAGTACTAGAGCTTCCACTTCTGATCGGGGCTGGGTCTGAACAGTCACTGCCGTTGATACGCACTGATAACTTCACACAATGCCATGCATTGCTTGGATGCCTAAGGTTCGATGGACTTCTCGTGTGCTCTGGATGGCAGTCGTGAGTCAGTCAAGTGTGGAGTAAAGTCGGCGGAATAGCGCGAGCTCCAGTGTGGGGAGCAAACCCTTTCTTACAAATCATCGCCGAAGTCGCAACCACTATTAAATTTTAGTTCGGAAACAGTGACCTTACTACAACCATCCACGGTTGGTAGAGCCCAAGGTTCTGATCCTCATTATACTAGGGGAGTTCTGACACTTCTCCTAACGTCAGTCGTGTATTGTTAGGAGAGGTCTAAAAACTCCCCAAGCGTAATGAGGGTCAGAACCGGGTTCAAGACTCATAATGGTTCAGATGGTCCCAACGGACCGGGGCTCTGCCAACCGTGGATGGTTGTAGTAAGGTCACTGCTTCCAAACAAGGTGTCCTCCACCTTGTTTCATGCTGTCAATCTAGCAACATGATTGTACTTGTACATCTACATGTACAGTCGACCTACCCTTATAATGATAACTCCTATAACGATATTACCCTAACAACGATATTTTTCTGTCAAACCAAATCACTCCATTGATTTTCGTATACAATGTCTTACCTCTACATGTACAGTGTATTAGTTAGAGTGAAACCTGTGTAAGACGACCACTCAGGGGACCTTCAAATTCCGGTCTCTGTTACCAGGTGGTCTGCTTATCCAGGGTCATTTGACTGGAAATAGCATCCCTTGGTTCTGGCTAAAGTGGTCTTCTGGGACAGGTGGTCGCCTTATCCGAGTGGTCGCCTTGACAGGTTTTACTGGACATGTACTTGACAATCAGTTCATGCGATACCATTGCACGACACTGACACTAGTGTTAGTTGTAGAAGGTCAGCACCGTCGGTCAGTGTCGTGCAATGTTATCGCATGAGCTGATTGTCAAGTAAATGGTGGTGTTAGTGGACATTATAGCATAACTTGCAGTCCCTTGGTCATTAAATTTCTGTAAAGCACCCCTGGATCTCCATCCGAGTCCACTGTGAATCTTACTTTGTGAACAGTTCTTCTGGAAACTGAAAATTACATGAAGATTAGGACAGAGAAACGTAAAACAGCTAATGACGCCCTCATGGGTGCATATTTGGAAGAGATTCTATTTGAAATGGGGTAGTGAAGGACTAAACACGTTTCTACAGTGACTAAAGAACAATTGTATGATAGCCGAAATAGAAAGGCATAGAGTTCATTGTATTCATTACGAAATACAGTATTTTACACTGGCAGCATACATGTACATGTAGATGCATTTGAAACTGATTGCGGGTATTGTTGAGACGTAGAGGAACATAGATACAAAAATACATACAAGTACATGTACTCGTGCTGTGCGGTGTTGGTACGGGAAAGATAATAGAATGCACAGGTGAAGTTTCAGTAAAGATCCAACTTGGCAAGGGGAGGCTGGTTAGGATGTATAGGATAGAGTGGGTGGATACAATAAAAAAATCGACGGGTTCGCGTACCGGGCAGGTCAAGAACAAGGAGTCGTACAACTCCCTGGTCAAGAACTACCTTTCCGCTTCCGTGGGACGCCACCACCCCATGATCATGCGTCAAATGCAGCTCCTAAACGGCGGGGGAGGATAGAGTGGATGGATAGAAAGAAAGTTCAAACGAAGGAGTAAGCTGTAGAAGAAACAGGAAACAAGTTGAGTGTTAAAAAGAAATGACAAGAAGTATACTGTAGTACCGGTAGTACAAGTGCAAGTAGACCTTTCTGTACTTGTGTGCTCATATCTGCCTGTTAAAGTAGCTTCTTCAGTACACCTTTAAAAGGTTGAGTGTTCTAACTGCAAGTGTCAGCCCCAGGGCGACTACCAAACACAAGTACCAACTAGATTGATACAAAGATGGTAAGAGGGAGAGATAAGTTGGGGGGGGGGGGTATGGAGAGGCAAACTTCTAGTTCTGTTGATTATTGCAAAGTTCTTCGATATGCAGAGTGGATGTGAGGGTACCTGCACCAGGGTAGTAACCCAGGTAAGCGTTGGATGTAGTGCATTGTGCATCTATGTGTGTAGAGAAGGACAGCGGACCTGAAATGTTGATATGACATATACCACTCACAACACCAGCATAGATGTGATGGTGGTGTGAATTACTAGAGCTTCCACTTCTGATCGGGGCTGGGTCTGAACAGTCACTGCCGTTGATACGCACTGACACCTTCACACAATGCCAGTCATGGGTCCCATGCTTAAATCCAATAGAGGTTGTGTACACCACTCTGATAACAGTGTCAGGTCTAGTCTTGTTGAACACGACTCCACTGAACCAGTATCGAAAGCCACTAGTAGATATCTCCATTGTAAATGTCTTCCATGATACAATACCGCACTGAAAATGACATAGAAAGAGATTACAAACATGCACAGTACGATGTTGAAAGCCATTTTCACTGCTTGCAAACCCAGACATAGGGCTTACTGGGTGTTAACGGCCGTCGTGAGTTCCATTTAGGGAGTGGACACGACAATATACTATTTTTGTTTAATTCTTTGTTGCCATCTTCCATAGGTCCGTCAAATAGTATTTATAGGTTTTTCATTTGACCCGACGAGACCACACGACGAATGCAGACAACAGCACGCACAGTTCTCTCGCCACACTCCACGAAAACAACTGCTTCTCCTCTGATGAGTTTCCCGTCATCTTTATGGAACGAAACAAGACTTGTCAGGAGTAATACTACTTGCTTTCTTGGAGTGTGGCTGGTGAACTGTTGGTGCTGTTGTCTGCAAGCGTCGTGTGGTCTCGTAGGGTCAAATGAAAAACCTTTTACTCTTTTTGTTTATTTACACTCAGGTATAGAGAGAGAGACGAGAGACAGCTGGGAGACAGGTAAAACAATACTTCTGAAGTAATACCCAGTTATGCCTAAGAGAAAGTGGATGAAACAGCCTACCAATCTCTCCCAGCCGTATCCCATCATGAAACTGTTAAACACAAGCCAGGAAAACTGTGTGTAGGCAGTGGAGACGCCCAGTGGAACAGTTTACACAACAACTGCCAAACTGTCACAATCTTATTGTTATCCTCTTTGATATTATTAGGAAACCAGAGGCCACATGCCTCTGGTTTCCGGTTTCCTAATACTTTGATATTCTCCGTGAAGTCCAAATTTGAAATTGCAACTCTTTGATATTGTCACATATATGCACATATACATGTAGGTACAGTTTGTTCACTTCTTGCCACTGCCAGTTCGTTTCCTGTTGAGCGTTCTCATTGGTTCTGTAGTTGTGTTTCACTCTTTATAACCTGATTCATGGCATGTTTGGGTTGTCGTTCTCTTGGAATAATCATGGAACTAAGTTGGAACTGGTACACGCAGCAGTAACAACCACGAGACATTGTACAATTACAAATAAAGTTGTGGAAAAAATTGTGGTTTTATCGAATATAGGTTACGACTACGACTGTGGAAAAAAGCTCGCAAAGCAGATCCCTCATTTCAACATTCACTAACAAAGGGCATAGTCTGCACCAGTTGACTCGGGAAAACAGAGCATGCCTTCAAAATGAGCTTGGAAGAAAATGTATATAAGTTTTTTTGCTGACATAATTATTCGAATCAACATATCATCCGATCACCTGCCGGTATCAAGTCTACTCTGCATCTCATTTAAACCTGCTTCAAGCCTTCAACAGCCTTCGAACAAAGCTACCCCTCCCCCGTACAAACCAATTAGGGCTCTCCTTTTTGGACTCTCTTGACTCTAATCTCGCCCTCTGAGGCTAGACACTTGAATCGATTAGACGCCGAGGTCTCGTAATTCATTTCCAGGACAGCACTTCTAAGTCTTATTGCGTGTATTTATTACAGTGCATGACAGAAATGCTTAACTAACCTTCTTTCTTTCCTCCTGCAGAGTAGCATTGATCGATGCAAGCTGCTCAACAGAATGTTGCTTCATTGACTTGAAATGTTGCTTCGTCTGTTGGAAAATATTTGAAAAATGATCAGATAGACACTAACCCTTTTCTCCGATGTTTTTCAAATATTCTCATTCATTTTTAATACTGGCATGAAGTACAGACACCTAGATAAATATGTGCATGTTCCAGTTCGAGGATTTAAGTTGCATAATAGACACTGTCATTCTGTAATATATGAAAGGCCAAAGAGTATGTGAAAAAGTCGATGTTTGATGACTTGAGCCAGACTGTCATTTGGAACGTACATGACTGTATCTCTGGATATCTGGACAAAACTACAGAATGTGTGCTCTGACTGATTTCATTTTTTAGTTTGGCGTTAGGTAAAATCTTGTCCTGCCATCTGTGCAAGCAGTCGGGTGAGTTGTTGCCCTTTTGACCAATTGAGCATTAACTTCTGCTTGGAAGGATTGTGGCAACTCTGTTGTGACTCATGGTTGATTATGATCTCTTGGCCTGGATTTATGGAACGCACGGGTGCAGTGATAGAGATTTCCATCCAGCACATTATTGCAGTTCTGATCTACTCGAGTATCATCTGCTACAAGGAGCTGTGACCTATGCCCCTTGATCTGCTCTCAATAACAGAATCCCACGCAAGCCGTACGGCATGCACCTTGCATATGGAAACACTGCATTGCTTTCCTACCTTCTGTCCTTCCTCCGTCAAAGTGACATTGATTGCAGCAAACTGTTGAGCAGAATGTAGCTGCATGTTCCTGAGGTGTTGCTTGGTCTGTGAGAAGGAGTTCAAGTAAAATGAATTAGACTCAAATATACCAGGAATTTGCTTGCCCAGAGCTAGCTTGACTACACACTCACTCAGGTTGTCTGAGCATGCCAAAGTGTTCATTGCCTAGCTGCCGATTTGGATCATTTCCGTCAGCTTAAGCTCATGGGAGAAAGTACTCTTTAGCGTTATTCAATGCAGACACCGGGTCCTGTGGCTGCTCTTTCGAGAGGTCAAAAGTTACGCTACTCTCACAATTCTATTGTCTCACGAACGACGTAGGTGTGGGATCTTCCCAAACAAAAATTGCGTGAGACTCGGTTGGAAACCGAGTTTTCCGCATCCGTAGGAACGACACCACCCTTCAAGGATCAAGGCGCAGATCCTCCGAAAACTCGACTGATATTAAATTAGCCTGAGTACTGTGAACTGATTCAACTTTCTACAGGAAAATCACGTGAGTTCAATGGAGACTTGGTCATGACATCACGAAGTCAAATCCTTACTGACATCCTAGTGTTTAGAAACAACGACTTCCTACTGCGCTGTACATGTGTGCTCACGTATCACGTTTTTAGTAGCTGAGTCTGCGATTAAAGTTTCAGCCTGACTGAATCTCACAAAGGTTTAAGATATTTTCAATCGGATAGGTTACATTTACACACACAGGCTTGGATAGTAGTAAGTGCGGGGCAGGTTCTGGCACACTTTTTGACCTTTGACCTTTGGGCCAAATAAGGCACACTGTGTCGGTCGTGCTTGGTCTGGCCCCGGGACCCCCCAGAGTTTGACCTTTGACCCCTGGCATGCCATAAATGTGCCATAAAGGTTCTTTTCCGTGGCGAACGTGCACTTGTGCACGTTCGGTGCATTCGCACTGGGGAGTAGTAAAATACGTACTACTCCCTGATTTGCACATCGTAGATGTGCAGTGACATATTGCGCATGCGCGCATACGCACGCGGAGCGTGTGACCTTCAGTGGCCCTGCGGAAAAGACGCAGTGCAACACAAGGTGGACTAGTACACGTGTCATTATACTACTCCATGATTCGCACTTCGTAGATGTGCAGCAAACAAGTTCACGTTCCGTGCATTCGTTTTATTTGCACATCGTAGATGTGCACTGATTGACAAGTTGCCCATACAGAGCATACCTAATCGGCTTTTCGATCGAGAATGTTCAAATTCGGCCATATTATGAGCTCCAAGATCAGAATTCGGCTCAACATAGTACTTGAAGTCACCGCTCCCATTACGTCAAGTACATTTACATACACCCTGTTGAAGCACTGAAGCATCGGTTTTCGGGGAATTCAACATGCGAATTTTTGAAAATTCGGCGAAAAGATGGGTAATTTCTTCAAAACCACTGTTTTTCGGCGAATTTTTCGCCCGGCCGATTAGGGAAATGCCTACTGTCCATGCAGGTCCATTAGATGCAAATTTCTATTTTGATCAGGATACAGTTAGAATCAACCGGCTACGCCCGGAGTATCATGCATTAAAACAATTATTGAAGGGGTGTCACAGTGAAGCAGTGTTGCTACGCACCACAAATCCCCTCTGCACTGCATCGAATCTATACTGGAGAATCCAGAGTGACCAGCAAAGAGTCACAACCCGCGGGTATCCAGTCACACTAAGGCATATCCACCATTCCCCACATATTCACTGTAACAAAACACAATACTGTTTACTATAATGCACTTTTATTTAAATGGACTTGGATGAGTCTGTAGAAGAGAACACAATGCACGCACACGCACGCATGCGCGGGCACACACACACACACACACACACACACACACACATCTAGGTTATAGTGCTATACACGTATCTAGGGTTTAGGAAGCACGAGAATATGTCGAAGCACCCACGCATACCCCTTCATGCAGTGTACTTCAGTAGCCCAACACATTACGACTGCTCAGGACCATCACAAAACACATTACGACCGCTCAGGACCATCACAAAACACTACACACTGTTACTACACTGCATACACAGTTACTACACTACGCCTGTTCCAAGTACTTACAAATAATTTTGAAAACAAATGGCACATCCCGAAGACGGCAGCTAGCTCCAGACCTTCATACATACATCATCATCATCTGTATAACCAAGCATGAGCGCACACAAACACTATTAGTGTCACGAATACGGAAGCAGGGTAAGACAAGAGGATACGAAACAAGTAAGTATCGCTATAACGAGGGGGATAAGTATACATGTAGACAGAGCAGTGCTTACTTACAGGGTCCGGATACGCTCCATGGCGTCCCGGTAGTCGGACTGCAACAGCAGCCCGACTTGCCGGCCCTCCCAGTAACGGGCTCGATGGGCCGCACCCGCCAGGTGTGCGGCCACGGCCTGGCCTCCCACCAGCCTTTCTCCACTGTAAAAACGAAAGAAACCGCAGAAAGCACAGTGTCATAGAGCTCTTTTGTTGGGGGAGAGAGCTAGGAGCACTGCACACTTACCATTTGTCACAATATATTATAAGAAAGAGGCGGCGCTTGACGCACCGCCTCAGGTGCTGAAACAAGGGTATAACTCCTGTCAGTTCCACACCGCAGTGGCAAGTGAACGCCATACTGTAAATGTAATGATACTGAAGTGAAGGTGTGAACCGCAAAGCAAGGCCTTTACCTTCTTCCTGTCGAATTCGCTCCCCAGCTGCATACCGACATCACCCGCTAAAATCCAATCATACCAAGTAATGCAAAGGTCATCAGTTGACCTTTTGGACTTTTCAACTCTTATCCAAAACCACCAAGAGGAAAAAAAACCCAGGATAATAATAATAATCTTTATTTCAGGATTACCCAAAGGCTAACGCCTATCTGGGGATGAAGAAGACGTCAGTTGTAGAAGCGTTTTGTGGAGGAGTTGTTACATTATTCTCAGTAAATAGATATGGCTGATACATTCGGTGTAGACGTGGACGACCGGTCGTGGTCTCTCACCACGGGTCCTTTACTAATAGAAAGGCGGACGCCAATAAGAACTGTTGTGGAGTTGGCAGATCAAAACGCGCAGCAAGAAATTTGGCACGTCGATGGTAGACTCCATCGGGAGGACGGACCAGCTCTTGTTGATAGTAGGGGAGTGTCCGCCTGGTGCTATGGAGGTCGCCTTCATCGCGTTAATGAACCTGCTTGGATAGGACGGGGTAGCATCGAGTACTACCTCAACGGCGTCTAGAGCCGGCGGTCCTGCAGTTATTGTGACGCCACATGCTGTATTCTACGGTGGTTACACCACGGAAGGCTCCACAGGGAGAATGCGCCAGCGGTGATACGCAGGGAAGGTAACAATCGTGTACGGGAGTGGTACCGATACAACCTTCGGCATAGGGAAGATGGACCTGCTTTCATCTCTCAGGAGGAGGAGGGTGTCTATCAGTGGTACCTCAACGGGGTGTATTACGATGACCACCATCAAGACCAGGCAATACACCCCATGGAGCTGCAGTACATCAATGTAGTGCCTACTAAGGTAGACTCGTCAGCAATAAGTCATGAGTCCATTTGTGTGATTTGTCAGGATACCCTGGACCGTCCTCTATCCAAGTTGGAGTGCGGTCATGAATTTCACTTCCACTGCATCAAGGAGTGGATCAGTTCTGCCCCCAGCCCTACTTGCCTAACCTGCCGCTACTCCATGACTGCTGAGGACTTGGTTGAGTTCTTGTAGTAATACATGACACAGCTGCATGTAGGCGACTACGAATGACCAGTCATGTGCTACAGACGGACACGGACACGCCACCCTAAGTAGCCATGAGCGGCTCTTTGGACAAGGGCAACAAAGCACCCCGTGGGCGGCCAAGGTTGACTCTAGCCACAAGTCTGCTCGCTCAGTTGAATAAGCTGGGTGTGCCCATGAAGACCATGGAAGACCTTTCCAGGTGCCGGCAACAAGCAGAGGACAAGACAGACTGGAAGAAACTGTGCAGCTCGACACTCGAGGACAAATCAGTATCAGCAGCTACTACACCTTGCTGATGATGCTCACAAGACAGAAGTGGGAAAAACACTGAATTTCTTTATTTAGTGCTCAACTACGCGAAATGTGTTATTATTATTATACATGTTCAACTGTACTCAGTCTGGCTGACTGCCATTCTCTACCACACATTACCGGACACTGTTGTGGTTGTCGTCGTTATCGTCGTCGTCATTGTTGATGTTGTTGTCGTCGTTATCGTCGTTGTTGTTGATTTTGTTGGTGGCTGTTGCTGTCGGTTGTTGTCGGTTGTTGTCGTTTGCTGTTGGTTGTTGTTGGTTGTTGTTGATGTTGTTGTCGGTTGGTGTCGTCGTTATCGTCGTCGTTGTTGATGTTGTTATTAGTTGTTGCTGTCGGTTGTTGGTTGTTATTGGTTGTTGCTGTCGGTTGTTGGTTGTTATTGTTGATTGCTGTGGGTTGTTGTTGGCTGTTGGATGTTGTTGTCGGCTGTTGTCGGTTGTTGTTGGTTATTGTTGGTTGTTGTTGGTTGTTGTTGGGCGTTGTTGGTTGTTGTCGGTTGTTGTCAGGTGTTGTTGGTTGTTGTTGGTTGTTGTTGTCGGTTGTTGTCGGTTGTTGGGTGTTGTTGTCGGTTGTTGGGTGTTGTTGTCGATTGTTGGGTGTTGTTGTCGGTTGTTGGGTGTTGTTGTTGGTTGGTGTTGGTTGGTGTTGGTTGTTGTTGGTTGTTGTCGGTTGTTGTCCGTTGTTGTTGGTTGTTGTTGGTTGTTGTTGGCTGTTGTTGGTTGTTGTTGTTGTTGTTGTTGTTTGTTGTTGTCGGTTGTTGGTTGTTGTTGTGTGTTGTTGTTGGTTGTAGTTGGTTGTTGTCAGTTGTTGTTGGTTGTTGGATGTTGTTGTCGGTTGTTGTCGGTTCTTGTTGGTTGTTGTTGGTTGTTGTTGGCTGTTGTTGGTTGTTGTTGGTTGTTGTTGGTTGTTGTTGGTTGTTGTTGTCGGTTGTTGGTTGTTGTCGTTTGTTGTTGTTGTTGTTGGTTGTAGTTG